AAGCTCCACAGCTAGAGTGAGTGGGGGCAGAATCTCAAGTGAGATCTGGACCCATCAAGGATGAAACGGGAAGGTGGGATTTGAAGCCTGAGTGTGGAGAAGTCAGTCATCAAGAAACATGGGACTGTGCGTTATGCTATGGGGAAGCAATTCCCTTGGCCTTGCTCAGGTCACTTTCCAACCTCCTGAACTCTGATCTGCTGCATAGACGCATCAATGGTCCCTGCAGGGGCCACCCTCTGGGCGATGTTCACCCCATGGAGTTTGACTCCATCGTCACTGGAGAGCCCTCACCCCTGGGTGAGTGTGGCACTTGGGACACAGAGAGGGAGGTGAGGGGTAGAACTTGCGGTCTGCCTTCTTCCAGATGCCCCCCTCTTGTTACCACTTCACATCTTCATTCCTTGGCTCAGCCCCAGGGACCTCTTGCCAACAGTGTTTGCACCCTTCATCTCTTGCATTGTTTTCAGATCCCGAGAACTCTGCACCTACCTAAGAACTACCCTAAGAAGCTTGTGCCACACACACCTGCCTGATCCCCAAGGTAGGTGAGGGACCCTGGTGCCCCCCCACCCCCATTGCCCGGTCACCAACCTCTTTGTCACCTTGCTGCCTACCACTGAGATTTATGGGCTTGTTTCAGTAAGGAAATGAGACAGGATGCCCTAGGGAAGCTCTTGTTAAGGAGACCAGGATGCTGGGAGCCCTAGGGGCTAGGAAGGGAGAAACTATGGTTTTTCTTAGGTCCTCACTGAGGGAGAACAAGTGGGCCCTGCCATTCGACTGGCAGCCTCAGGCCCCAGCCCTCAGTCTCTGCTACTTCATTCTTAATAAGTCAAGTCCAGAAGCTAAGTTCCTGTCTCTGGAGAGGGGGACCTCCTGAGGCCAGGGGACTAAGACAGGTGTCCACCGCCACTCCAGGAACCTGGGCCCCAAGGGCATCTTCAGCAAGTCGGCCGAACTCTTGTACTTCTGATGGGCCAGATGCTAAGCTCTTCCCAACCAACTCACCCCAGAGCCATATCAAGTCACAAGAGCTGTGCTATTCTGAAGTGTCAGAATGTATCTAGGCAATAAAGTCACAAGCTGTATCAGTGCTGTTGGCTGCAATTTTCTGAAGAGACACTGAGATGGATTACTGGGAAATAAAAACATTGAAAAGTTTCTACACCCCAATAAGCCTCTCCGTGGATTCAGCAATCCAAATCAGACCAAATCAAGCCGAATTAGAAAGAGTTCCTGTTTAATGGATACAATGCTCCCAGGTGGCCTTCCAGCCCCGCCCCCCAGAGGAGGCTGGAAAGGAAGACTGGAGTCTATTCTCGTGGGGGGGCCGGCGGGGGGGGCAGTTTAAATACGCTGTGGGAGTGGTCTTGAGTATCTCTGGGGGAGGGGGCATCATTTGGCGGGCTTTCTGAGATGCAGCAGGGTTTAGAGGGAGATGGGGGAGGGGGCTTGGGTGCAACTTCCACCGTAACATTCCAGACTCTTTGAGTCTATGGATGCCAGGAGCTGGGGTGAAGCTTTCACCACAACAAACAAAAGTAACAATATCTGGGTGCAGTGGTTCACACCTTGTATCTCAGTCCTCGGGAGGCAGAGGCAGGCAGATCTCTGAATTCAAGGTCAGCCTGGTCTACTAATCAAGTTTGAGAACAGCCAGGGCTATAAAGAGAAATCCTGTCTTGAAAACAAACAAACAAAACAAAATTAGTAATGCCATGTTATAGACAGAGAAGACACGCTAAGAGAATATGCCATGTGCAACAGATGTAATCCAAGAGGTTTCTTGAGGGGGAGAGAAGCGAAAGACCATCTCAGAGTGGGGACACCTGAGAGAGAGAAAAAAAGAGACAAACAGACTGAGGGACAGAGGGAAGAAACAAGACAGAGAGAACTTTCTGGGGTGGCCAGCTTGGGCTTGGGGCACACCTTCTGACTGTAAGCAAGTATATGAACTGATAACATGACTGTTCCATAGTGTGACTAGGGGGAAGGTTTTTATTGTAGAGAAAGAGAAAGAACAGCCAGAGGCATCTGCAAGAGTCCAGAGTAGAAAGAGAAAGTAGACATGGCCAGGACTACCTGTGAGGGGGAGGGCAGTAGCAGGGGACAGGGAATGGAGGAACCACAGTGAGAAGCAGGAGCGGAGCAGAGCAAGAGAAAGAGGAGACATAGACACGACATATCAAGAAAAATCAGGGTTATACCGAGAATGAGTAGCTGGAAGGGAAGCCGAGAACTGAAAGTTTAGGAGAGGTGGTGACAAGGGCTTGGATGGCCTTTGAACGTTTAACAGGTACGTGTGACCCTGAAGGAGGCTGGAGGCTGTCATTGTGGTGGGTTTGGCACCTCTGCCAACCTGTGGTGGCTACAGCAGCTACTGTGGCTGCAGCTTACCCAGCTGCCCCAAGCCTGGCTGGCTCCTGGTCCCAATAAGCCTGTCAGAAGAGCCTGGTTGAAGGGGAAAGCAGAAAGGGGGAACTCGTTCAGAGTTCACATTGAGATCCAGGGAACCCTGCTTCTGCCCCAAGCCCTGAAGTCAGATTAAGTTTAAGTAGAGGCCAAGGATTTGAACATCCAGGCAGTCCTGTCCACCACTGGCCCATCCTTATCTGGGCTTCATTCTCTGGTAAGATGGTCTGATAAGTTGTTAGAACTGTGAAATCTCTACAATGAACTGGCTGGCACCTTCTTCCTCCCCCAGTAGGAGATTCCCGGGGAAGTTCCCATTTCAGCATCAGGCGTGGTGGCTGGAGCTGGAGGCTGAAGCTGAGGGCTCGGACCCAAACCACAAACTGGAAGCAGAGAGCAAACTGAGGGTTTTGGGAGGCTTTCAAACTTCAAATTCTGCCCCCAGGGTTGCATTTCCTCCATCAAGGTCACACCTACTCCACCTCCCCAAACAGGTCACCAACTGGGACCCAAATATTCAAATGCCCACAAATATGGAGGATATCACATTCAAGCCATCAGGATGTGTACACCAGCATACTGGTTTAGTGGTGTCTAAGAAACATTAAATATTAGTCTCTTCTATTAAACACTGTGAAACTTTTGTTCATGAGAAGGAATTCAAATGTTTTTTATCTTCCCACCTTGTAAAACTTTTATGCAAAATTTTAATCCCTCAATCTGGAAACCAGCCTTTTGTTTTGCCCCTACTATATTCTCAAACTTCAGTGACTTAAGAGCCCATCCCTTCCCGCTTTCCTTCATTTCCTTTGCACTAAGTTGTTTTTGTTTGTTTTGCTTTGTTTTTGTTTTTTGAGACAGGGTTTTTCTGTGTAACAGTCCTGGCTGTCCTGGAACTAGCTCTGTAGACCAGGCTAGCCTCAGACTCACAGAGATCCATCTGCTTCTGTCTCCAGAGTGCTGGGATCAAAGGCATGCACCATCACTGCCTGGCTGCAGAGTCTTTTAAAAGTAATCGATAAAGACTGTGATGTCAGACAACCAATGGTGAAAAGGACAGTTCATTAGAAAAAAAAAAAATCCAAGTGCACACTTTCCACGGTGCGCCTGCTCTTCGGAGCACACCCTGTAGATTAGGGGTGCAATTTTATCTCACTGAGACACTTCTGCCTTGTTTGGGTGTTCTTTATGTGATGCTGAGAATGCTTCTAACAGATGAGGGACCAAAGCCAGGACTCTGTGTATGCTAGGCAAGCACGTTCCCAATTCATGCTTCAATTTCTACTGTTTTGGGTTTATTTTATTTTTAATCGTGTGCGTATGTGTGTGCCACATGTGTGTGAGTGCCTGTGGAAGCCAGAGGCATAGAATCTCCTGGAGCTGGAGATAGAAGAGATTGTGAGTTATCCAGATGGCTAGGAGCTGAACCCTGGCCAACTGGAAGAGTGCTATATGATCTTTGCAGCTGAGCCATCGCTGCATTTCCTCATGCTTCAATATCTTTAACCCTTTCTGTAGCCATTCTGTAACCCACATATATACACACATACATATATAGTGTGTGTGATGTGTATTATATACACATTATTAGTTAATGTTAGTAGTTAACACTGTAATAAAAGAACCTGTGTTTGCCAATGGTCAGATAGCAAGGGAAACCCAGATTACCTGGTGTTATATTCTGGGCTATGGGCTATTCAGGCCATACTCATCTGCAGCTGTCCCCTGCTCACAGCTGCTGGGAAGGCAATGGCAAGTCCCCTACACAGGGGAGAGAGTCTGGCTCTAAAGTGCAGTGTTCAAATCCAGATGCTGCTCAGGACATAATGTCTGCCACAGCCTTTCCCCTCTCACAGATGTTGACAGACACCCAAGGAGACATTGACTGAGTCCCTAGCTAGCCAACATCCTGGGGGAGGATCCCTCATCAGGGTCAGTTTGCATCAAAGACTACCCCTCAGGGTTATGCTGTGAAACCTCCCCTATCTTCAGAAAAGAGTGACCCACCCCACTTCTGCCACATTGTCTTTGAGACTCTGCCATGCTGTCTCTAGTTCTGGGGCCTGAGCTCTCTTAGGAGCTGTGGTGCAAGTGTCTGGGTCTCTCTGAGTCCTCTCAGCTGTGGCACAGGTATCTGGGTCCCTCTGAGCCCTCCACACTGTCTGTCAGCTGTGGTGCAGGTGTCTGGGTCCCTCTGAGCCCAACACACACTGTCAGCTGTGGCACAGGTATCTGGGTCCCTCTGAGCTCTCCACACTGTCTGTCAGCTGTGGTGCAGGTGTCTGGGTCCCTCTGAGCCCCACACACACTGTCAGCTATGGCACAGGTATCTGGGTCCCTCTGAGCCCTCCACACTGTCTGCCAGCTGTGGTGCAGGTGTCTGGGTCCCTCTGAGCCCCCCACACTGTCAGCTGTGGTGCAGGTGTCTGGGTCCCTCTGAGTCCCCCCCCCCACTGTCAGCTGTGGTGCAGGTGTCTGGGTCCCTCTGAGCCCTCCACACTGTTCTGTCTACTCCAAGTTTTACCTGAAAATTCCCCAGGCTCCAGGAACAAAAGACCCCCCTCCCCAGGGTCTGAAAAGAAGGTAAAGCTGGAAATCAACCCTGGCCCTCACCTACTTCTGCTTCCATGACATCGGGTGGATGGCTAGTGCTGTGTGTGGCTCTCAGATGGCAAAGGTGGTCCTCTGGAGGTCAGAGATAAGAGAAATGGGGAGTGTACATTTCTGACACTGAAGACTTAAAACCCTTGCTTCTCTCATTCCGAAATAAGAATACTAGAAATGGTGGCATGGTTTCTAGTATAGGGGACCACATCCTGGCCCTCAGCCTTAGCGAGCTGGGAGGGCCTGGGAGGACCCAGTGGCTCTCAGAAGGTTAAGAAAAAATGACAAATAGGAACTGGATGCCTGGTCAAGGAAGGAGCCCAATCAGGGTGCACCTGCCAAGAAGCCCTTCCTGGGTTTTCTGCATCATATGTAAAAAGGAAGCCAGTGGGAGACAACAATGAATAAAGATCCAGCTCAGATGTTTATTAGCCGGAGCTGACTGTTGTTAACTGGAGAGGTGATGCTCCCTGAGACCCCGTGGCTAGGTAATCAAGGGCACAGAGAATGCAAAGTGTAGGTTCTGAGAACAGTTTCCTTAGCTAAGCATAGGGAAGGGTAAGGGCATGGCTTCATCAGACCCAGATGCTACTTTTCTGGATAAACTGCTTTGGGTAGGAGATGTGTCACACTGTTTTTGAAGCCTCCAGGGTCCGGGGTGGGTAGGGGGGTGGGGG